CCACCCCCACCATAGTGCTAAGGTTGTAGGTACACCACCACACCTGGCTTTTATGTGGTAAGGATCTGAACTAAGCTCCTCATGCTTACACAATAAGCACCTTACCCACTGAGACATCTTCCCAGCCATATACAATAAAATTGAGTGGCACTCTTCATTTACTATTTATATGGAATTTTCCCTGCTAAGCCCAAAGCAGCCTTAGAAAAGGCACTCTAGGGAAGATGAGGGAGAAAGCATAAGACTTGACTTCAAGGAGCAGATATATTTAAACAAAGAGATTATTAGGTTACTAAACTACTGAAGAGGAAGGAGTATTTAATACATGATGTCAAAATCAGAATTCTAATTTTTAAAATGTCTCTGAACTTGGTTTTCCCCTTCTGGGAAAAGTAATTGTCTCCAAGGTTGAAAATGCCAACCTTATGTGCATACAAGCAGTCTCCAACCTACATAGCTTCTATGTAGAAGTTTGGTGACAGAAGTCTCTGTCTCATGTTTCATTGGGTATATTGATACTGGAACTGATTTCGGTGATCCCTGCAATTCTAGGGTCTTCTGTTTGGATTTGGAATAGCCACAAAAGTCACTCCTGCTAGAGGTCTCACACCCACAGACTTGTCTATCCATTTCTCCACATTCAAAAGTTATCACCTAATCTGGGAAAATACCTTTCTTTACTATTAAATCCTCATTCAGGGAATGGATTAGAGTAGGAGTTAATTATCGTCGTTGTCATCATCATCATCATCATCATCATCATCATCTTTGATCTTTTTGAGAAAAGGTCTCCCTGTAGCCTTAACTGGCCTGGAACTCTCTAGGTAGTCTAGACTGGCCTTGATCTCACAGAGGTCCACTTGCCTCTGTCTCCCAAATGCTGGGATTAATGGCATGAGCCACCACACCTGACAATCCTCATTATTATTGAAGCAACATGGGTGTAAGGTAAAAGAGAGTTGAAGTCTAGAAAACATATCCCCAGTGACACTTGACAATTGATTATGGTTAGGCTCATTCAGAATAATTCTAGAGAGGTCTATTTAATCAATAGTGCATAACCAATGAAATTATTCAACATAACAGTCCCATATGATATGTGTCTATAAAAATGGTATTCAGAGCTCCAAGTTGCTTTCTTACAAAAGGTACTCTTGGAAAACAATCCATCTAGATAGTTCTATTGCACCGATCTGAGTAACTTTCAGATTTCACCATCAGTTCCCAAGGTATTCATACCCTTAATGCGGGGTCCAGATGTTACATTTTCTTGGAAACGGAACTCCAGGTTTACTTGAGAGTTATCTTGCAATCAGCAAGTGATCCATATTATTTGTGTTGGTAATGAGATCATTTTAACCTAGCATCTTTGGAGTCAAATATTGTGCTTCCTGGTGCTCTCTGAAATACCCATTTCTGACAGATTTCAATTGTCATTGATAAATAAGTTGAAACACAATTTATTTTAGTTAAAGACTGTCCAAGGACTATAATGAAGTAAAATTTGTCTCTATATGTCCCATAGCCACCTTCAGATTAAAGGACAAATGGAAAGGTTGTCATATGTGTTACTGTTGCACGGGATGATCTGTTTCTTCCTCATAGCACACTGGCATGTTTATTTGGGCACAGCCATCCTGCCAGGGCACTGAAGTGGCAAAGAACAAGAAGATTTGAGCTCTCAAAGTAAGCTCTAATCGCTCTCCTTTCACTTAACCTCCACATCCGCCTCTTTCAATGAGAGTCGATGACTGTGTTCTGTCACAGAATAAGCATGTCCTCAGAGCAAAAGGCCCATTTTCCATGCATCTAATCTGTATTTTCTTTCATGTCCAGTCTTTGGTTCCCAGCCCCCACCTACCAGCACCGATTGCTTTAAGGCCTACATTTTGGACTCTCTCATTCAAGTGCCACTGCCTCTTTGTTCATTCATTGACTACCCTGCCCTCTGTCCAAATTGATTTTTTTTTCTTTTAGTCACAGTGAGCCCTTCTAGTTTGCTGTACCAGCTTTGTCCCTCTTGACTGGAACATGCTTATGGTGGGAAATGAGAGAAACTCACTGAGGCTGATAAGTTTGAGAACATTCGCCAAATTGTCATAGAATCAGAGGGAAGTTTTCTCACACCACATAGTTCTCTGTTTTGATTAAGGACAGGACTTTTGTGACTTCACATTCCTTATAGCATGATGCTTATCAGTTTTCTTAGTAATCTAGCCATGTTGCTATACCTCTTTGTGTCTGTTTCTTCTAAGTCCCTCCATAGGGCAAGCTTCTTCTCTATGGAAGGCTTGCTAAGGGCTAGTGAGTCCTTGCTTGCCGTGACTATGGAAGCATGAAGGCTGACTGACAGCAGGCAGTTCTTACAGTACATTCCTTTTTCTCCACACTACTGCTTCCTGTCTTTGCAGAAGTGGCTGTTTCCTGGTGTGTTCTCAGAGATGGCATGGTCTGTTAACTTTCACTCAAGTCTTTTAATGTTACATCTCTGAGGAATGTGGGAGGTGGGACTCATTTGACAGGATCAAGGTTAAGCCCAGTGATGAACAGACCCTTTGTGGTATCTTCTAACCCTCACTCTAAAGCCACTCAACAGATTTCTAGTTGTTTTGGTCTTTCCCCAAAAGCCCCTGGCAGGAAAATTTTGAATGGTTCTCCTATATTGTCTTTCATGGTCTATCAGAAACTGAATTTTCCTTTGAGAAAAGAGGGTTGGAGGTGAGATGAGGTACAGCTAGAAGTAAAGCTGGTTTGACTAGTTATTCAGGAAAGGGGTTAGACACTCATAGCTACAGCCCCATCTTTGCTTATGATAATATGAGAAGCTAAAGCCTTTTCTTTGTTGGGACAACTTGCTGTTTTCCATTTCTTTTTCTTTGTATTTATGTAAGTGTCAGACTTGACTCATGTTCTTTGGAGGAGTTGACTGAGATTTGGGGGCTTTCTTAAATTGGTAATCAAGAAAAATCAAGACCACTGAAAAGCAGATCAGGCACGTATCTGGATGCTTCCAGATATTCGTGGAGTGTAAGCCCTATAGTTTGAGTTTGAGTTCAGCAATCTGTTGAATACAGAGTCTAGACATGGAGGCATCGGAAAGGTAGAGAACCTGTTCTATGGTCTGTTTCTAGATGTTTATGTATATTCTCCTTTAATTTTTATAGTACTCTTTGATGTGAATATTGATGTCCCAATTGTGCCTTTGAAGGGACTGAGGCTCAAAAGCTGACAGCCTCTAAATTATATAATAAGAGGGGTAGCTGGCATTGAAACTTAATTTGGGAGGCAAGTTGTAAGTCAGTAGTAGAGGACTTGTGCTGCGTGTGTGAAGCCCTGGGTTCAATCCACAGTGCAACCAAAATATGTTTTCATTTTTATCATTTTTTATGCATTGCTGTGGATAGCACTTAGGGCTTTGCACACTCTAGATAAGAGCTCTACTGTCGAGCTAGATCTCTGGCATTCAAGCTTGTATCTGTCTGACTCTAAAGCCCAGGTTCTTTTTACAATATCATGTTTACACAAGTTAAAGAAAAAGAAAAAATAGAACTAGAAAGGAGAAACAAGAGGAGTGAAAGAAATGAAATTTGATGAAGAAATGGATAATGTTGCTCCTAAGGGGTCAGGGTCAAAGGAAAGTTTATGTTTTAAATCTCAAATCAGGGTAAGGGATTGTGCTAGGAGCAAAGGACCTGAAGTATTTTGTGGGGTGTTTTGATTGCAGTGCTGAGGATGGAACCTAGGGTATGTGTTCTTCCACTGAACTATGCCCCTGGTGTGGGTTTTCCAAAAGTGCTTCACTGCCTAGCTACAGCAACATCTGCAGCTCTCAGAAAATCTAAAGTTTAGTCTTAGCCTGTGCCTCTCATTTAAGTACCTCGAGCAAGTTATTTCCTTCTTCATGTCTAAGTTTTCTTATTTGTAGGTGAAAATTATAGAACTTGCACTATTGTTCCAATAGAAAAGAATTATTACCCCTTATTATTTATGTCATATAAGTAGTAGGAGTATATGTGATCGAAGAAGAAAATAGAACATTTCCCATGTGTCCCTTTTTAAACTGAAATTCTATGCAGAGATTTTTGGACTTAAGAAAATAAAAGGTTTGTGCTTACCAAATCATTCAGACTTGTTGTGAAATGGTCAGACAGCTTTAGTGTGATGTCTGAAGCTGCCAGAAGTGGAAAGGCCAAACATGATTTCTGGCTAATGTCCAAAATAGCCAGTGCTTCAGAAGACTATGTTAAACCTTGTTTGGCTGTCCTAACAACCCTCAGTTAAGAAGACTTCAATCAACAAATCTATCAACCAGTCAACACAGATTTGTCCAGCACTTTGCAAAGTGCCTATCCTTAAACTATAGAATTCAAGAGTTGGCCACCATAGAAGACCTGATTTTTGGATTCTCAAAGAGATGACAAGTTTATTGAAGAGTGGTGTTTATTGTAAATCCAGAGAATAGAAAGCTTTAAGTTCTGAAACCACGGGATAATACCAAACAGCAATATTTTTTTTTTTATGGATTGGTGTAGTTTGGAGTTTTGTGGATAAAGGAATAATTGAAACTGGACCTGGGGATACATGGGACTTGGGTAGTCTTGGGAGGAAGAAGAGATTTCATTCCAGTTGGACAAGCAATGCACATCCTAAATACATAGGCAGGAGTCATAGATTAATTCGTTCATCCACAGTTAGCTAATGTCACAAGGGCAGAGAATGTCTACTTCATTTATTACTTATTAGTTAATTCATTAACTTTTTATTGTATGCCCATTCTAAGAGTTGAGCTCTTCTTTCTGTGGCCTATGAAACCAGCACAGAGCTTCATGGATGTTACTTTTGTTTTCTAACATATACTCGTATAATGCATACCCCAAGTCAGACATTAGTTTTCTAACACAATACCTGTCAACTTGTCAACTTGTTTTAAATGTGGAAATTGAGGCACTAGAGAGATTGGATAACTTGCCTAATGTCATAATGTCATATTGCTCATGCAGATGGATAAAAGAGTCAATGGAGAGCTGCTTGGTTGAGGCTGAATAATGGGATATGAAAGTGAACAGATTAGAGCCAGGTATGCTGGAGAACCAAGAAAACTGAGCCGTGGATGCAGGTTGGAAGTAGATATCCCTTTTTGTTTGGAGAATTAACAAATTTAAACCAAGTACCTAGTATAATACTCGTCACATAACTACTTGCATGAGGAAAGACCTAAACCGAACAATAAAAGGACAGTTTGAAGGATTCAGTTATCTTGGCAGTGTGCTGACTTGTTATAGTTGTCAAGTTACCAAAGATTAGTCATAATGTGCACTACTGAAGAAATGAAGGAGAAGTAGTAGGAATCAGAGGTGAAGCTCCTATTTATGATGTAGAAGACTGAGTGATGATGAGGATTGGGAAGGTAAACCAGTTTGTAGCTAAGGGATTTTCTGATACTGTTTGTAGAACAATTAAGTTAGGTAGCCCAGTAGACAGGTGGGTACTAGGAGAAAAGAGTTTGTTTACATTTGTTTATCAGTTAAAACAACATGTCATTATGTTAGGAACACAGTGGTTAATACACACAATTTACTTATCTATTGATTGTTGTGTAAATTAGTTAACTGTCAAGAAAATCTTGTACCCTGAAGATGTGGAAAACAGGTCTGTTTTGTGATTTAACGAGCTTTCAGATCCAGCTTAACTTCTCCAATCTGCAGGATACCTAGTCATCTGAGTTCTTTTTTGTATAAATAGAACTTTCAAGTGATGAGAAAGTGGAAAAAATTAAACAACCACAAAAAAGAAGTTGTCAGAATGCCAAACCTTGGACATGATAAAATGGTTTGAGGCTGCTGAACCTGATCAATTGACTTGCCTACATGTTTAAAATTTTTTGATTTGTTTTCTGAATTTTTTATTTGTTTTTTGATTTTTATATGTAAAACAAAATATGGTGACTTGATGAGGCAAACCTCCAATTACTGGAGTTTCAATGTGACCTTTAAAAATATTGTTAAACTTTCATATGTGATTGTCTTTAGGTGGTGGCCTCACCACACTAAAATAAAGGAGATAGGGATTTGTTTCACACATTCATTTACTGCAAATCTGGTGGGCAAACATTGCTTTAGCATTGAAACTTGCAAATTTGAGTGATTAACTATTAATGTCCTTTATTACTTAAATGGAATGCCTTGGAAAAGTTCAATTAGTGTGCGTATGGGTCTGCGAATTTGAGGACCAATTCATCATTTATTCTGCTTCTCATCCTTCATGAATTGACTTTCTAGATATTTACTACTTTTTTGTAACATCACCTGATTTTCTATAGAGTGAGGAACTGAAATTCAGAACTTTTTAAAGATACTTGCACTATGGAAGTTGGTCTAAATTCACCCCTACCTCTTTGTAGACAAAACAATACTGCTTGCTATAAAGTTAATTGGCACCTATGTTCTTTGATCTGGCTCTCTTTCTGACCAGGTGAAATAACTTATAATTTATATCTGAAATCCACTCAAATATCTAGGTACTGGAGAGATTTTTGTGGAAAAGATTGCTTGAATGCTTGGCTTTTTACAAGAGCTGACTTGTTAACTGTTGCTCTGCTATGTAAGCCTGGGTGGGAGGGTCACTCTTCTCTGGACATAAGGGGCTCAGTATGTAATTTTCACCTTTCCTCCATGCCTTTGCTTTGAGAAATGTACAATGTTCTGTTTCTGTACTTCTCAGATCCTGCACAGACTGTATCTGCTTAAGGATGGTTTTGGCTCTTAGCCCTTCTCAGCTGCATTAGGGTTTTAGTTACATCCTTCTCCCCTTCCAGCCACTAATAAAAGTCAAAAGAAGTATGGATCAGGGAAAGTTAATTTCCACTGTTAAGGCCCATCTCCCATCCTTTAGGTTGGACCCTAATTTAAAGCTGGACTTTAGTCTAAGTCTGTGACAGTAACCTCGAACAGGTCCCAGAAAAGCCCTTGACAATCAAGTTTCGCCCTCTTCTTTTTCCTTTTCTCTTCCCTCTCTTTCCTCTCCTTTCCCGTTTTTTCCTCCATTTCTGTTGGGATCTTAAAGGAAACAGGGACCACAGGGACCAAGCCAACTGATACTGCTGCAGAAATGGAAACACTACATCATCCTTCTTCCATCTAAACTTGGAGTTTCACACAAGCTTCTTCCCTGGTCCAGCCTTAATACAGAATCAGGAGCCTTATTCTGAATAAAAAGAGTTATTGAATTCTCTCCCAACTTGAAAGGGATGCATGATGATAAGCTCTGAGATGGTGAGCTCAGACGGGAAAGGACAGCTTTGAAGGAAGATCTTGAAAAAACTGGGAGAGGCGGAAAGAAGCCTCCTTCTGGAACAACTACACTAGTGTAGTTGCCTCCTCAGTGGTTTTCCTCCCTTTGATCATCTTCACTCCCCCTAAAATTTAATGTTTCCCTGCTGCCTGTAGAATAGAGCCCAAAGTACTTTTGCTTAGTGTTACAGACCATTCTCCACCTGGCTCTAGTCTTTTAATTTCTAGCACTCCTTCTAGATCCCAGGTTTTCAGGCAGAATGGTATCCTTTCTGTTTCCTAAGCTCACTGGGAAATTCTGCCCTCTGATTCCCTATCCCTATATTTCTTCCCACGGGCCTGCTTCACACTGCAGTCCTTAACCTCCTCACTTCTCTGCCCCTTTCCACCCTATGTGCTAGTTCCAACCTTCCAGGGCATCATCTCAGACTGCTCCAGGTAGAAGTGACTAACTTCTCCATTGGAATATTGGAGTTATGATTTTCCAGTGGTCATCTTTGAGTACTTTTGTGGCTTTGCATTCAACTTGCTGGACAATGGTTGTATCTTCTTTATCTTTGTCATCCCCAGCATGAAATACAGTGTAGACTCTCTAGAATACTTGGTAGTTGAGAGAACATGTATAAAGTGCCAAACAAGAATTTTGTGCATAATAATTGTTCAGTTCCCTTTCCACCCCAAGCCTAAGTTAGAAAAAGGATATGAATTGATATGTAAGTCAAGTTTCTTAGTCTTGGTATGCTATCTAGTAAATGGGATAAACCTCAAATGACACCTGAAGGTTAGCTAGTGATGGAGGGAACACAAAAAATAATGATGAGGGTAAATTCTAAAGAGAGAATCCCAGTGTAAACTTAGATGCAGTAAGGGATGTAGTAGATCTAGGGGTGTCCCCAGAATGTTTGGCTATTACATCTCTTATGCGTGAGCTGTGGTCTCCAGGCCTGCATGGGGGATAGATCTGCTGGTATATGATGACAACATTCTCATGCTTCTGGGAAGTGTTGGTCTGAGATTCTTAACACAACAGCTACTCCACTTGTTGGCTATATACTCAGAATGGTTATGGTGAGTTTTGTGCTTTGACTCAAGCATGTCACTCCTTCAGAAGAATGGTAGTGACTTTAAGTCAATATTCTCTCTCTCTCTCTCTCTCTCTCTGTGTGTGTGTGTGTGTGTTTTCACTTTAGCTTAAGCAAGCCTTAATGTGTTCTATTTCATCTTGTTTGTGAATCATTGTCTGGTATTTATACATAGTGCCGTAAGTGTCCTCTTTATTTGACCATGGTGTTTTTTTCCTCGCTGTTTCACTCAAAGCTGAGAATGCTAAGAAAGGTCAGAAGGAACTGACTTCATCCTCCTTCCTAATGAGCTCTAATGTCATTGGTGTAGGTCTCTGTAGCAGTCTGTAGTCTCAGGGTACTAAAGGGACAGGTTAAAATTCAGTGTTGAAATTCACAGGGCTAGTACTATAATACCATGAGAGCTTTCTTAATTTGCTATTGACTAGTCTACTGCTTGAGAGTGTGTTTCACTGGGATGAACGTTCAGAAATAATATGGAAAGGGAACCTAGGAAATGCATACCCTTAACAGAATCTTTCATAAGTATGGAAGCAGTGAAACTATCAGATGCAGTCTTAACCAGGAGATGATTTGATCTTTGCACATAATAGTGGGAGATGCAGAAAATGTTACTATACTCCTTACTTCTAAATTTTCTTAGAAGCATGCTTCTAAGGGTGTGGGAATGGTAAAGCTCATTTGGGGACTGTTGTTATCAAACGGACAGAGCCTCAGATAGGAAGGACTTTCTGCTAGTATGTTTTGGGGACTGGTTTGAAGGGGCAAAGGAATGGAAATGCACAATAGGAAATGGGCATTGCAGTTTTCATGTGCTTATGAGCCTTAACTCTGGACTAGAGATGATCAAAGTTACCATTAATTATGTGCTTTTTATGTTTTGGAAATTGTATATCATAATCTATAATTTTATCACTGCCACAAATTAAGTGGTAGTAGGCCTATTTCACAGATTAAAAAAAAAGTGATGTTCAGAGAGGCAAAGTAATGCTCTTATTAAGTGAGCTAGTAAGTGGTAGTGGGTGCAATATTGAGAACCCACCTCTGAGTCCAGATCATATGCTTGTCTTATTACACCTCTGAATTCAAAGATTTCATTTTTATGCCTTATGTTCTCTTTCTAATCCCACTGTTAACTATTGCTGTGACCATGTTATTTGCATCATACTGTGGCATTGGGCAAAGGTGAATCTCACAGACTAGTCATTTTAAAACTTTCCTGGGAAGTTTATACCACTAATTAGGCACTCAAAAAATATAATGCAGGAGAAGTACTTAGTAATTAATTTCCCTTTCTAAGATATAGACATGGAGGCCAAAAGTGTTAGTTAGTTTGCTAAACTTTGTTCAATCAGAGCTGGCATTCAAAATTTTATTTATTTAATTTTTAGAGTGCCTGCTCTTCTCAACACTCCTGTTGCTTCTCAAACTGGGAAGTGAGTAAGCAATAAACAAACACTGGGCTTCACTCTCTTGCTCCCTCCCTACAAACCTGTCCTTCTCGCTTTCCCTATCTTTGCCAACAAAATTTTAGTAAAAGAGAACCTTCTTCCCACCTTAACTTCCTTCTTTCCTTCCTCCCTGTCCTCTTACTAGGACAGTTGGTTTAAATTGTGATTTTAGGGAAGTGATAAATGTTCACAGACCAAAATAAAAATATATAAATAGATATATCTTACTTCATCCCTGTCCCTAAACTACATGTTACAGGCCCATAAGTAACTATAGTTATCAATTTCTTATGTACCTTTC